TACACCCCGGACTGACTGGCTGCTTTTCTTTTTCCTTTATCCCCCACGCTGCCCCTCCCTTTCCCATTTCAGTTTTACTTACCATAACACACTTTGATTTGTAAACATATCACATGCCTGAGAGAGCTAATGCAAAGGGCATGCTACATTTCTTCAGAGAATTTATTTAAAATAGCTTCATAGATAAAGAAATTTGGAAATTTAATGATCATAAAGTTAACACACTTATATTTAAATTAAGAGCTAAGAACGTTTGTGTTTACTATAAACTGAACATTAATGGCACATAGAAAATGTAATATTCAATTAAAACCTAAGTTGTCCTGGTTGGACATATTTATTTCGAAGTCCAACACTGAATGGCTGTTCACTTTTCTCTATTGCCAATTTGTCTGCTTCAGTAGGTTCTGGATCTGGAATTTCAAATCTAAGAAGGAAACCAAAAGTAAAGGAATTTGTTGATACATAAATTAGAAAAAAAACATTTTAAATACAACAGAGAAAACTAATCAACTGAAGATTCCAGTTTCCTATCATTTTATAGAACATACAAATTCTATAAAGCCTTTTCTACAATACTGCATACATAGAACTACAAAAAAAATTGCCTTCAGCTATATGATCCTTAATTAAGATAAGCAAGGGTTGCCATGCAATTATTTTTCTCTTCTTCAGACTTAGCAGCAAATATGATACTGTTGTCATTTGGGGTACTAGTGCAAAGGCATGTCTGCCCCACAGGTATCTTCCTTATCACAGATTTCTACTCTCCACATAAAAGAAAACTTTTCTTTTAATCTATAGTCTGCACTACTGTAACCTGGAAGCTGGTCTGGCCATGATTAAGTTTACTTCTGATCATTAAGCCATCAAAGAAAAAAATATGTCTTTCTTCTTAGCACCAGTTCTTGGCATTTGTCCTTCCATTATGAATTCATTGCAGCACTGTGCAATATCTTTGCTTATCCATCCATCTATTTTTCCCAATTTCTGTCATTTTTCTGTTGGTCCAGTTCTTTCTAATTAATTAATGATTATAAAAAAGGCAAACTGGATCCCTAATTTAAAAAAAAAGGATAAGAATTTAAGTTTAATCAATAATTGTACAATCCCAATTCCTAATTGCCTCAAGGGCAAACTTTCAAATCAAGTTGCAAAAATATTGCATTGGGCTAATGGTGTTATTCAGTGGTACAGAACAAGTTATCAGTATAAATAAAACCATGGGTATAATCCACAGACTTTTAAAAGAAAAAAAATAACAAAATACTAAATTTTATAAACAAAATTTATGTTCTTTTAACTTTGTCACTAATACATATATGCCCTGTTTCATTGCTGTGAAAAAGAACTACTACAGACTCTATATTTCAAAATTCCTATTACCCTAAGTAGTAAAATTACAAAGAAACTTAAACTCTTGTATTGATTATAAAAATAATTAAACACATTTTAGGTGTATTAGCTGTGAAAGAGCTAATAAAAAGTAAAACAGAAAATTGAAAGAAAAGCATGACCTTTAAAATTGCAACTTTCATTATAATTTATATTTTTTGAGAAAACCAAGCACCAAATACAATGAAGCATGAAGAAATATTTATTGTTTCATCAGTTTGGAATTAAGAAGATTGGTGTCTAGATGAATACAGTTTTTACATTATGTCCATTCATGATTCATGAGAGAAGTAACAGCTTGGTTCAAATCTTCTCTGTCTTCTGGCTCCTCACCACATGCTTCCAATTGCTGAGAATATCCAAAAAGGTAAATTAAAACTGCATTGTTTAATTCTTGCCTCAATTTTTTTGTTACTAGAGAAAGCATCATCAAGCATTTAAATCTTTAAATACAGTTTAAATACATTTAATAAAACAGTTATTTTACACTACTCTGTTGAGTTTATTATCCCTTAAACCAAGCCTCTTTCTACAAATACAATATACATGTAAATTATTACTAGCAAAACAAACAGTAAAAAAACTGAATATCATTTAAATATCTTCTAGATTTACAAAAATAATTTAAAATATCTAAAACAAGAAAACTATGTTACTTTTATTTATTAGTAACTGTGACTGCATGAAACAGGATAAACTCCTACAAATGATTTCATATTCTTTTAAGGATAACATACTTGAGTTTCAGCAATTTCAAATAATTTACATTTCTTTGTTTTACAACAAAATAAAGTAGAAAACCTTTACCACTTCAAATCTTCAGAAACTTTTCTGCATACAGAGTCCATAGAGAATTCTCCTAAAATTTTCATAAGAAAAAATAAAACCAGTATAGTCAGTATTAAGAAATCATAAAAATAAATATTCTATGTTATAATCCTGAGAAATCATAGTTAAAAATCAGTTTGTTAGTCTGCAAATCTATGGTTTTATTTCATTTTCCAAAACTTCTCTTGTATCTCCCTCTCAAAAGAAAGAAAGTTTATTTTTTCTAAATAAATTACATTGGACTATGCTTCTATATTTCAGCTCTTTTGACAGAAAAATTCAAAGTGGAATAATGCATAAATATCATATAAAATTATATAAAGTTATGTTTATGCAAAACAAATGTAACAAATTATTATCGCTTCTTTCAGAAAAAAATAAAACTTAAATCTATTTAATGATTTTAAGTGTCTAGAAAATGTGTGGAAAGTTTATATTTTCCCCATATTTCAATCAATATCTCAAAAGCATTCAGGGATATTTTTTTTCTCAGTAAGGAAATGGTGAAATATTGTTTGAGAACTTGGTCCATTAACTTTAATTCATCTCCTAATAATTATTCTATGTATGAAACACAAAAGCACTTACCTGGAGAAGTTTTGCTATTAAGAGATTAGCAATAAAAATAATTTAAGTGACTACCCCATTCCTGTGATCAAACCCAGAGGCTTGATGCATTCCAACCAAGCAGTTTTATGAGAGTTAACAAGAGTTAAAAATAAGAATAATTTATTTTAAATTTAAAAATGCTTAGGGAGGACTGATGCCCTTCACAAAGGTTTTACTTACCTTTTCTTC